AATTCAACTAATACGTACTTAGAAGTGGACCACCATAACAAGCTGATATACCCATATTGGGATAACCCTGTCGAGCAGAAACAACATTTGAAACGTAATCTATTTAATATACATAGTAAATAGAAAAGAAAAAAAATAATAAAATTTTTTTATTTTACCACTTAAACTATTGCCCCATGCGAGAAATGTTAAACCAAGAATTGTATTACTTATATTAAAGACAATACCAAATGTACTTAATAAATTAACAATTTCATTTGCAACTGAATAAATCCAAACGACAGATACAGTAAAACCAAGAAATGCAAAACCCTTTAAAAAACAAAAACATGTTATTAAATAAAGCAATCACTAAGAAATTATTAATAGGATGAGTCATTAAAATTTATTCATTTATTACATTGAAAAAAAACTTTTCAAATGAGATAATGAAAGGAGAGAGTTGAAAGACGTTTCAATTTGTAGAAAATTGTTTGCTCCATCATTCTGAATAATTTTAAATAGAATTTCGAAAGCTAAAAAATTTGATGTTTGGTATTCTTGGAAAACAATTGAAAATCGGGCTGTTCAAATAATTTTTGCAGCCACTATATATAAAAGTCAACCTTATCTATTTGCTTTAAAACATTACAAAACTAATGGGAATATAAAGAGCAAGTAACCCTAGAAAATGGATTTTAATATAAAAAGTTTCTAGAAATGACCCACATATTTTTAGACTTGGGTTAGGTGAGAACATTCATTTCTATAAGCAAAGTATTTTAGATAAGATAAATTTCCTAAAAATTGGAATTTTACCATACCCTTACTGAAATTTGTTCAATTGTATTATTAAAAGATGAAAACAATTTTTAACAGAATATCAAGTATTGTTTTTTTTTTTTTTACAAATATATCGTTTTCTTTTCATACAAATACATAGATTTATTCTTTCATATATTCATTCAATGATACAATTAAATATGCTTCGTATTATCATTATACATGAAGTTCATCATTTAGTTTTCTTTCCTAATATATCTGACAAGAGAAAAAATAATGAATAACATGTTATATGAATAGTTCTCTAATAATAAATAAGAATGAAGGTAAAAGTATCTCACAAATAGAGAAAAACAAACGTTGAAATATTTAATTACCGAATGATATCTTGGTTTCGTATGATATTCAGTTAATATTAACGCTGCGAAACAAAGTATCGTTCCAACAATACAAACCACAGCCCATACCGGAAAAAGATTTCTAATTTTAATAAGACCCACTATAAAAATAAAAATAAATCAATTTTTAAAACTAC